AAATTGTGTATGTCTAATAACCTATCAATAAGAGATGTTGCATCAGTGATAGGCTTAATTGTGAGCACATTCCCTGCTGTTAAATTTGAAAATGACAAAATTCAGGCACTAGCTATTTCTAAGGGCAATTTTGACCATGCAATGTCACTGTCTAAAACAGCCTATGATGACTTAAGATGGTGGATTGATAATGTTGAAAGCTCATTTAATGACATGGCAATCTCTAATCCTGAAATGGTTATTGCTACTGATGCCTCATCTACTGGTTGGGGAGCTGTCTTAGGCAGTACAAGGACAAGAGGGGTTTGGAATCTCCATGAGCAACAACTCCATATTAATGTGCTTGAGCTAAAGGCTATTTTGTATGGGCTAACTTCTTTGATTGACCAAAGGAATACACATGTTAAAATTTTGACTGATAATATGAACAGTACACAGCATTAAAAATATGGGATCCTGTCGTTCTTTGGCTTGTAATGAAGAAGTGAAGCAAATTTGGAATTGGGCTATCCAGAATCAAAACTGCATATCTGTGTCCTTCATCCCAGGAGTTCAGAACTATTTAGCTGATGCTGAATCTAGAAACTATGAGCTTCGAACAGAATGGCAGTTAAATCCATCTGTGTTTAAATTTGTAATCAAAAAATTAAATGTTACCTTAGACATTGATTTATTTGCCTCTAGAATCAATTGCCAATTTAAGCCTTTTGCATCGTTTTGGCCAGATCCAGAGGCTTCAGCAATTGATTCGTTTACATTTAGCTGGTCAACCATTAAATTTTATGCCTTTCCACCATTTGCAATTATTCCTAATGTTTTACAAAAGATTTGTTCTGACAATGCAACTGGTCTTCTAATTGTTCCTAATTGGCCATATAGTCCCTGGTATTCTCTGTACAATAGAATGTTGATTTCTGAACGAATTGTTATTCCTTCCAGCAAGCATCTAATGTTACTGCCAAACCGTCCACAAGCTGTGCACCCACTACAGAAGTCTCTGCAACTGCTAGCTGGCATGATATCTGGAACAAAAGATTACCAATAGGTATATCATCTGAAGCCAAATATATAATTGATTCATCTTGGTCATCTGGTACTTCAAAACAATATTCTTCCTATTTAGACAGATGGTTTGTTTACTGTCAAAGAGTGGGCATATGTCCCACACATTATTCTATTAATCATGGAATTAACTTCCTAACAGAACTATTTAACAAACATAATTTGGGCTACTCTGCTATGAACACTGCTCGTTCAGCATTATCCAATATTATGACACCAGATACAAGTTCGTCATTTGGTAACAATCCACTCGTTAAGAGATTACTGCGAGGGATGTTTAACATACGGCCGAGTATTCCTAAGCATGTTAACACTTATGATGTTGATGTTGTGTTACAGTATCTAAAGGGCCTAGGTGATGCAGATGCTATTCCATTTAAAATGCTTACCTTTCGTCTTGTAACATTGTTTTGTCTTCTATCAGGACAGAGAGACCAAACATTTGCTGCTATTGACATCAGACTTATGGATGTTTCTGATGACAGAGTTGTTTGTTATATTGATCAAGTTCTCAAAACAACTAGACCTGGTTTTCATCAGTCACCTCTTGATTTCCGTGCATTCCCTGATAGCAAGGCTATTTGTCCTGTATTTAACACACAGCAGTACTTGTTTAGATCATTCTCTCTACGTGGTCCGAGAGTGAAATTGTTTGTGAGTTATAAATCTCCTCATCAATCTGTTTGCACCTCGACCATTTCACGTTGGGTGAGAACCACTTTGCAATTGGCAGGAATTGATATTAATGTATTTACCTCTCACTCTACTAGGGCTGCATCAACATCCAAGGCACGAAGTATTGGCCTATCGCTAACAGCTATAAACAAAGCTGCAGGATGGTCGAATTCGAGTACTTTTGGACGTTTTTATAATAAGACAATTCATGAAAGTAACTTTGGTAGTAGCATTTTAGCCAATTTTGATTGTTAATATTGATTATTTGTGTGCGTACAATCGATCATTTCTCAGTTCAAGTCTTCTTGATCAACACATTGCCAGTCTCTTTGAAGTCTCGTATAAATACCGAAAGGAGTTTGGGTTCTAGTTATGGAAAATAATTAAAAAATTAAACAAACCTTGGTGTAGTTTGATGTAGATTATTTTCCATACCTAGAACCAAACGACGTGGGATTTATACGCCCACCCGACCCAAATAATTATGTATTTTCCCCTTTTTCTAGTGTTCATTTTCAGGACTGGCAGGCTCCACTGGTATGTCTTTGAATCAGGTCGAACGCCGCGCGTTGCTCGTATAAATCCCACGTCGTTTGGTTCTAGGTATGGAAAATAATCTACATCAAACTACACCAAGGTTTGTTTAATTTTTTAATTAAACATGATGCTAATGGAGCAGTTGAGAGATATAAAGCACGTCTCGTTGCTAAAGGCTATTCTCAGGAAGAAGGTAGTGATTATGAAGAGACATTCTCTCCTGTAGCAAGATACACATCAATTCGCTCCGTACTTGCTATTGCAAATCAGTTGGATTTAGAACTGCATCATGGATGTACAAACAGCGTTGCTTAATGGAGAACTAGAAGAAGAGATTTACATGTTACAACCAAAAGGCTACAAAGAAAAAGGCAAAGAAAATTTTGTTTTCAAGTTGAATAAAAGTATTTATGGATTGAAGCAAGCATCAAGATGTTGATTCGAAACAATGGATGCATACAGGAAGAGTAACGACTACGACCAATGTCAAGCTGATTCTTGTTTGTATATCAAGCGTGTGGGAGCAGAGTTTATGATCATTGCTTTATACGCTGATGATATGCTGTTAGCTTGTAGTAGAAAGCAGCTATTGCAAAATGAGAAAGAAGCATTGCAAAAACGGTTTTGCATGAAAGATCTGGGTGAAGCTCGTTATTGTCTTGAAATTCAGATTGACAATTTGTAGTTCTAGGGTGGGGGCTTATACGAGGGGGGGCTTTTTCGAGGGGGGGGGGCAATTCGAGGATTTACGGTAATTAACGTTTCACAGATTAACTGGTAGCAAGAAAATTGTCGATACCCTTGCACAAGTGTGACCACGCTATCTCGTACAATGACGTTCGCATGCAAAAACGTTTTCGGTCAGGAATGCTGACGACAAAGCAATCTATTCTTTCAAATATGAGAAGAGGCGTCGTTAACCAGCTACCATAGACGATAATGACGGGACACGCGACACATGACACCAACAAGACCATCGTTTTTTCCTGTCCACAAGGAAGAAGAAGAAGAAAGCGACGAGGAAGAAGAGACTGCAGAAGTTGGTCCGTGGACATCATTTCATAAATGTGTGACCAAAGAAGAAACAGAGAAATGGGTGCAATTGCTGCAGGATCTGCTGACCAAGCTTTCAATGGGAAGCATTACTTCAGGTGTATGAGACTTCACAAAGAAATTTTTGATGCTTTGGTCGACACCCGCACAGAGGATATCACAAATAACCCAACAGAATGTAACGCACTCCTTCTGTCATGCGCTACGTGCGCTGGATGGAACGTTTGCTTACATTTTGGCTATCAAGCCAATCAGAGGCAGCCATTCTTAAGAAAGTTTCATGGAAGATGCGACCGGCTCTAGCTGTTAGGATTTTAATGAAGAAACCACAGCTTTACTTTTTGTTAATGAGCAAATATATTTGCTCAGAAATTGAAATGATTTGAAAAAAGCTTCAACAAATAAATTGCACAAAAATCAACTTTGATATTATCGTGAGAACGAGAGTAAGAGGTGTAGATAAAAAAGCAAGGGTCTCATAAACGAGCCATGAAGAACCCCGAATTTGTTTGTACAGATGCAAGAGTGCTATCAAAGTATTCTTTCTAATCGTGCTAACAAGCTTTCAAAGTCCTGCTCACACTATATAAACTAACCTGCATTCACCCTAGGTTCAAAGTAACCAGAATTGAGCCACGATGCGTTTACACTTGCAACTGTCGACTGTAAATTTAGTTTAAGCGGAATCGAGGCGAACCTTGGTTAGTTTGAAAACGACGCATGCGTAACACAAAAATTGAAGGTGATGATAAACAAAATGGCGGCGGTCAACGTGTATATTGTTTGTGAAGTTTACAAAGTACAATAAATCGACTTTAAAAACAATTATTCTTAGTGAGGGCTTCGCACAGTAAGAAAACTTTTGCGCTTTGCTTTGTTTTGGAATAGGCACTGTTTCTATCAGTACGCATGCGTCCTGAAGAAACTATCCAAGGTTCGCCCCAGGTTTGCGTTTACACTACACTTTATCTTTCGAGATGGGTTGATTAAGCCTGGGGCGAACCCAGGTTTGTTTGTGTAGTGTAAACGGGGCTTAAGCTATTTGTTTCCTTTTTAATCAGATGGTGACAGGGGCGTGGTGGCCCACCGGGACTCGGAAAATTTCCCGGTAGGCCCTTTAAAACGTTTCATTCCTCTTAAGCTTTTATCATTTGTAACATCAGATTTGTGAGAAGAAAGTGAAGTAAGGCCCCACGCTGCCTCCGCGACATTCATTTCCAATATATCATAAGTGACGACAACAAAAACAATTAGCATCAAAATGGCGTGCTCCTAAAGGCCCTATTACACTATCACATTCAGGTACAATTTGCTTCACATTTTTTCTGTGATCGCGTAAAACGAGAGAATGTGATAGTGTAAGTCACCGCTTCAAGTTGCTTGTATTTGCTTGTTGAGTGGAAATTTAATCCATATTGAGGAATTTTAATCCATCTTGAGGAAAAATCTTTTGATCGCTGTTCAAAAAGATTTCCATCATCTTAAAGTTTTTAAGACCTTATACCTGCCTTCTAGAACAGTAATACTGAGTCTACTAGCTCCGCAAAAGGTGCATTCAATGAACAGGATTGAAAATATCGAGGAATTCGAATGAAATTCAAATAAGTCATGGAAAAATATACTACTTTGTTATTTGAGGCTCAGAAGGCCAAGCTAAAATTATTCGAATAAATGACAATTACTAATATAGCCGTGTAAAATGTACATAAAAGGTAAAATGCAATGATAGTTGAAGCTGAAAGAGATTTCCAATAATGGGGCAGTTGACGGTAAACTTTGAGGAGCTAAACATTAATCTTTGCGACGAGGGAAGGAATTGACGGAAAAAAAGAGCCAAAATAAAAATGATAAAAATATTCAACACATAAGCATAACTAATAATTCAAAATTACAATTAAATATATGCTAATTTTAATAACTGTAAAAGACTCACTTTTTGTAGAAAATTTTGACAAAACATCAAACTACAACAGGTAACAATATAAAAGTATTAATGGGTTTTAAATCATGCTTTCATTTGAAAGTAATTACTGGTGTACCTCTTTCCTTTATGTTCGTAATAAAACAAAATTAAATTTCCTTCTCTGTGACAAGATATTTAAGGCAACAGAAGTGTTATTATGCTGGTAGATTTTTCTGTACAAATAAAAATCCCTATCATATTTCTATCCATTAACATCTAACTAAGAAATGACTTGTGGTTTTATCCGACCTTTATAATAACTGCTCTTCGTTTTCTCTCTCTCTCTCTTGTCACTGCTTGTCTCATCTTGTGACAGTGATACAACACATCGAAGAAGGAGAAGCGCTATAAAAGCAGCTATGTATGGTGTCCCAGACATGTAAAAGAATGCATTGTAACTTCTTGTTTTCTCGACCACTAACCCTAAAAACAATGTACAAGATATATTGATAAATGCATACAGGATATGATATATTTTAGGCTATCAATTTTTTCATGCTAAGATTTGGTTGAAGGAAATACAGCTCTTTCAAATAAAATTTACTAACGGCCATGCCCGTTATCCAATCATGCCTCGACTTTCGAACAATTAAGTCGTGCCAATCGTGTCACTTTAAGCTTAAATTTAGTATGTAAAAAAGGCATCTTTTCTCCATTTTTTTGGAAAATTTCTCATTAGTGGCCAAGGAGAAAGGGATCTTTAGTAAGAGCCTGGTTCCACAAATAGTTTCTGCGCTCATCCCCCGCTACATACTTAAGAGGCTAAGCGCGGCGAGAAGCACTGATGGTTTCCCTACACCGCCATAATATTTTAGCAGCACGAATGTCAGGCACTGCTAATATGTAAGAAAAGTATGCTTTGTGAACTATCATTTCTGCTAGCTATGAAAAGACAGCATAAGAAGCAACGAATGACCCTCTTCAGTGGCAGATCCACCCATAAATCTGTGGTTCGACCAGACCCTTTTAGACCACACCCATTTCCTGGTCAAGCCCTGTTTTCTAGAATAATTATTGTTTTTTATAATTTTTTATGTAGACCATTAACAAGACACAAGCGGCGAATTCCGAGTATCCTTACAACAACCTTGAGAAGCAACAAATTATTTTTGTTATTTTTCTGAGGCTGGATATTCTAAAAACCTTTACGGAAAAAAATGGGTCACATCGGCTTTGAAGTTACAGTTTGCCGACTTGCAGAATACGTAGGCATCCCCCCCCCCCCCCCCCC